TATGTATATAATATGGCCGATCTTCATGATGCTAACATGGTCACCTATTATATAAACGTTCAAACACCTTCGCTTATTAGTGTGCCAATAATCATTTAATATGTACACAGACTTACTTACATCAGTTTATTGTATTAAGAATGCATAATGTCTTTTACTCTCTCACTGACTTAACGTATAAAATCCATTTAGGTATAACTCTGTTACCGTATATCTCTATTCAGGCCCGTACGCAAGATTTTTATTGGGTTGATGCGAATTTGTGGAGAGTGGACCAAAATGGCTCCGGTGGGGGGGGGGGGAGGAGGGCGCCTAGAGGAAAAACCCTTTCTTTAACGTATACTTGAGCCAGTAGCACAATGGTGCTCTATTGAAACTTGCATTTCAGCCCTCCAGCTGCAGCACAGTGAGCAGTAATTGAAAATTACAAGGGAGACATTAATATCCAAGAGCCCCTCTAGCAAGTTATTGTAATAACTTTATATAATATCATAGGGGCTACTACATTATAATTATAATAATGAAGATTTTTTCTTAAATGTATACTAAGACTTAAACATTAGTAATAAACTCAACACACAAGTCAACAAAAGTCAGTAAGTAAAAAAAAACAAATAAAAACAAAAACAGCAACAAAAAAAAAAACCATTTTAAAACAATTTACTGCCAGAAAATAATACATAATAAATAAAATAGGCCTATGCAAAAACTTTAGAAATAGTTTATTTCAACTTCCTTTAATTTGCAAGATATTTTTTTTCCTCGACTAAATTTTCAGTTGAAAGTAAATAACATACATAAAAAGTTAGCAATTCATTTTAAGGGTTTTTTTTTTCAATGTGTGGAGCAATATTTAGTCTAGTTCAGAAATCCTCTTATTTATTAAATATGATTTTAATAATATTAATATAGGGCCAATTATAACACAGTACTAATATGCATATTTTAATTGCGCAGGAAAATAGGGCGAGTAATAACTTATTTATATACAATCATACCGTATAAGCAATAACATTCATACGGTATATAATCAGATATTCAACCAGATGGTGTTTAATTGAATGATATTTATGTTTGCAGTTAGAAAATTTAGGCCTAACACTAACAGGTGAGTAACACCATTACCATCAACAACAAAATAATCATAATTGTCATGAGGATTAGCGTCATCCGCATTATTATGATGAGAGCATTTTCATCAGCGCCCTTGTTATCATAATCATCAATTAATTAAAAAAATAATGAAATAATAATAACAATTAAGTAATTGTGTAATTGTTCATCATTATCATATTCAATACCTTTGTCATCATAATCATCAATTAATTTTATAAGATTGATAATGATTGTAATAATAATGAAAAATGATAATGATAATAAAAAGAATAACAATTGCGTAATCGTGTAAAATTAACCCACTTGATTTCTTAATTTCTACAATCATTAATGATAAAAAAAATGCAGAGGCACATCACATTATTCTCAAAGTTGTCACTTTTTGTGAAACATTGCTTTAAGCAGACAACGGGGACTGGTATATGTACTTGCTAGTTGACTGATAGTACTATTCCACCGCGTTCTTACTATTACAATTTACCATTTATCCTCTCAAAATGATCGTAATTGTCACAAACTTGAACTTGAATCCTATGCATGATTTCAGATAAATTAAATTGCTTTCATTTCGTATAATCTGCAAGATACACCATCTTTGATGAGCCAAAAAAAACTAGATTCGATCTGAATTGCTTATTTTGTATATTCATTCAAAATATTTCTTGAACGTTTGGCGAGTACCATTAACAAAATCATGAAACTTCCGGTACATCATGTGTAATCATGGAGGAATGTTGTAATAATGGTTTTTGAGGTAAAACCACTGGTTGGTCGTCTCGACGTTTGGTGAGATTGCTCTGACCGTATTCAGAGAACATTCATTTACCAACTTTCAATTGAAATTTGAACGGGGGAAAATCCTCACGAATTAACTGTGTGAACACTGTAATTATCAAATGTATACGCTTTTGCACAGACCCTTTAAAGTATAATGAAATTAACCATTTTTATATTGAACCCTCTGTATGGTAATGGTGATGGTAATGGTCTTTCTTTAGCGCACAATACAAGGGAATGTCTCTATATTATTATTATTATTATTGTTATTATTATTATTATTATTTGTTCTTCAATCAATGAAGAAAACTTGCTTAATCCGTTTACAAGACCAGTTAATTTATTTGATTGATTTTTTTTTGTGGTCAAGATTTTACCTCAAATAATAGACTTTAAATGAGAACTTTTATTTGTTATAAAAGTCAAAAATGGCTTCTAAATACAGTATATTATGGTAGAGCTCTTTGCATGGAACGTTTTAACGCAGTAGGCCTAATCTAAGGAAAACACTAATTTCATAAACATTAACGATAGGCCTATAAATATTATTTAATTCAGGTTTCCTTCCAGTTAAGGATCACGTTTGAGACCGTGGTCTTTGGTCCAGAAACACTCGAAGGGAGTACAGGCAATTTTGACAACTTATTTAATCGATTTTAGAGTTTCACATTCTGTAATAATTACATGGAATTTATTTTTCTCCCTTAGGCGAATTGTCTATTTTTTCTTCTAACTTGACCAGGGGTGGGGTGGGGGAAGGAGTTCTCTCCGACAGATTATGCCACTGCTGTTCTGCCCAAATTTCCATTACAAAAACACAAACTTTAACGTACTATAAACATTATCGGTATTCAATGTGGAGCAATGTATAAACAAAACATTGTCCTTTGATGCTTGCGTGTTTGTAAAAAAACTGCACTAAAAGTACCATATTTTAGAAGTATTCTTTAATTGAAGGGAAAATTCTCAGGTTGGTCTACCAAAACCATGGTCTTCTAATAGAATCCAACCGAAGACCGGCACTAAATGTGGTCTTTAGATTTATCTATTTAGAGGAAAATTTAGAATTGGTACATTAAATGTTTAAATGTTTTATAATTGATGTACAGTTACCGTGCTGCATGCTCTTATTTATTCTTAAAACATTTCTTGGTAGCCAGTTCTAACAAACTTTCTATTTAAATCTTATTGACATCATCACTAATATTGTTGTTATTCAATATACTCAAAACACTGTGCAGTATACACAAGACATCATCATGTGATGTGCATTGGTTAATATATTTATGTTTTGAGTCTATAACAATGTTTATTATAGCAAACAATTCAATAACATCACTATTATATAGTTGTCTTTCATTGGAGGAAATCTTTTCATACTTTTTGGTCTCCAAAATAGAGGGCGCATATAATTGGCGGGAACGGCTACTGATAAAAGATATGGTAGCCATTCAACCAGGGCCGCAGATACAAAATGGTCTTTAAAAGGAGGAGGACCTGTATGCCATATAACGTTATTTGTTTAGTTATATTAACTACATAAGTTAATGACAGGTTTTATCTATTTTTAACTTCTGCAGCATCCTTACCCAATGAATGTGTTACACTATATAAATTCAATATTCAATTTCAAAGTGTGGTAGGCCTACATTTCTACGATTATATAACGTTATTTGTTTTGTTATATTCTCTATAAAAATTAATAAAAGGTTTCATCTATTTTAACTTATACAAACATCTTACACAGTGAAATCTCATTCAAACTTAATTTAATAAATTCTATATTATTACATTACATTTGTAAACCTTCGTCATTGTTGCTCATCTATTCTTTGTGTTGTAATTTGATTATTATTACAGTATGTCGACCAGAAGGATAAAAAACAATGACTTTAAGTGTATATTTCATTCATTTGAAAAAGATTTTTTTTTTTTTTTTGTGTCAAAGCATTACCACAGGCATACGAAACTAACTTGAATAGTAACGTTTTCTTTTACTATTTTTATTTAACTTATATAATTAGATGAAATTATAAAGTAAAAACAAAATATTTTTAAAACCGAAGAAGTATAAAATAAATAAGTTCTTAAAGAATACAATAATTGCAATGTGATCTTACGTGTATAGCAGAGCATTAAGAAAACACTAAATTTATACAAAATAAGGATATATATCTCGCTGTTCCAACGAACCGGTGAATCGCGATTTTGGTGACAAAATCATTATTTGAGATTTCAAAAATATAATAATGTATGCCAATTATAATATAAAATAGTTTCATGCAAATATGTGTAAAACAACCAGCAAGATCTTTCTCTATGATTTAAACTCAAACTCGTGGTTAACGTTCATTTTTTGTTCAGGCCGCCATCGTTGGAATCGATTAATCATTTTTTTAAACGGTCCTCAGATTCAGTTTTATTCTGGAAAAATCTGTTTTATTCACCAAAACATATTAGTCTGGATTATTGTTAACTTAGAGCATTTGATACATATATATTTTTTAATTGGTGCGGTATAAATGTCTGTTAGCATCATTATTATTATTTTCTACGATTATATACTTTATTAATTTCGATATATTATCTACACAAGTTAACTTATATTATCTATTTTTTTACTTCTAAAACATCTTTATCCAGTGAATTTGTTATAATATAAATCTCATTCAGTTTTATTTATTTTCTTATTTTTACATATAAGTATAAAGTCAGTTTGGTTCCTATTATTACAAAATGTAATACATTCACGTTCGTATATTATCTGATGTTTGTTTTGTATTCAATATAGACCTAAGCACATTGATTATTAGTTTTTGCATCATCATCATCATCATCATCATCATCTTTATTTACATTAGTCCAAAAGGATGATAGAAAAGAAGTTATTTTTAAGTGTGTATTTCATTCATTATGAGAAAGTATAATTTAGGATTCGTTGTTTCCAAGCATTAATGTAAGTCTTAAGGCCTACCTGAATAGTAATGTTTTCTACAACAATCCGTATTAACATACACAAAAGTTCAGGGTAAAATCACAATACTTTAAACCCGAAAAATGTAAAAAATTATATCTTAAACAATAATGCAAATGCATTGTGATCTTACCTGTATAGCTAATACTAGTCCTATTAGATGAGCTGATAAGTTCACGGTTTTAGGGAGTAGTGCCACTTGTGAGGTTGTCTATCGGGCTGTATCTATTCAGTATTTATCACTTTTTAGAATTCGCTTGTAAAGTAAGTAAATGAATAGCGATGTCGATCATACAACTCTATCGAATCGGTGACTTGGTTAATGCGTGATTCTTGAATACGCCAAGAATTATGTCCGCCTTTAATGTATAGGTTTCAATACGCCAACTGGCTGAGTTTCGTCTGATTGATTGGATTGTGGGCGGTGATCTGCGCAAGAGGACTCTGCGCAGATGTTGCCACATTAATAAGTGCGTGCACAGTTCTATGAGAAAAATTTAGATTTGAACAGATGAAACTATCTCAGTGTGGTGCAGTTTTGTAGCGGTTTGGCACTAAAATGCATAAATGAATAGGCAATCTTCAAGTGGTAACCAGGTAGCCGATGGTTAGTAGGCGGAATACGATTTCAATCATCCATGAACTAAGCAGATCCTTTTGCACCTTTTATTATTATATAAAATAGCATTGAGCCCTGCCAAGACTTCCAATTTTATTTGACCAAAAATATGTGACATGCCTATATATATATAGGCACGTCTTGACTATATAGGCCTATGGGAATATTAACAGTGTTTTTAAAAGAAAATTGTATAATCATGACAGAGCTTTATGCATACATTTGACAAGAATATGAGTAGGAACCTGCTCCTTATTTCAGTCTTTCATTGGCATTGATGCTATCAACATCACTAATTTTAATGAAAGTGGTCAAGGCGTAAAATCTCTAACAAAAACCCAGGTCATTATTCTTCTGTTTGGCTTTTAGGGTGCATTACAATTATAGTATAAAGCACTTGGTCACTATTATTATTAGCAAGCACAAGGTTAATATTACGGAAACAATAACCCAACCATAATTTTTGTGTTTAGTGCCACGAACAAGTGTACAAATAAGATTGTTGAATTGACTTATTATACAAGCAGTAGATAATCTCCGTTTTACATAGGAATAAAACCATCATTTTTAAATAACCACATTGTCGTCATCATCTTCGAATATAATTTTCTTTTTAATTTTAATTTTTATTTATTCAGAACTCAGAAAATGTACAAGACTTAAAATAATCCAAGTTTATCAAATCATTCCAAAACTTTACGAAAAATATACGCCTATTGAATTAAAACATTTATTCTAAGATAAATTAATTAATTATCAATTCATCAGGAGCGCATCAGCGATACCATCATTATCGATATTAGCAAATGGGTCGGGAATGTCCATTTAGGCCTATATAGAATTTATGATCTATTTTTACATGATTTTCAGGACTGAAATATGCTATCGCCATGACTTCACTACATCAATTCAAATAT